ATAAACCACAAGAATTGACTTGGCTATACCAGAATTTACTGCCAGACTACCGCCTGTACATCAGAAAGACTGATTTCCAGGATATATACCATCACTAATCACTAGAATTCTGGAATATGAAAGCCTGAGAAAAGAGATATACCAAACCTACCAGGGTTATCACTACCTGCCACCACTCTCACCTGTGTCTTCCTGTCCGGAACCGATTAGGTATAAAGAACCTAGTTCCAGGACATATACCCAGAAGAGAAAACAAAATATAGGACTTCAAAACAGTGAGACTGTTTGTTGGAGATGTGGACTGCAAGGTCACATGAGAAGTCCCAGATAGCACAAAGACATCTTTAAGACATCCTAAAGACATCGTTTTCAGACGTTCACAACGTCTTTAAGACGTCTTTGGACGCCTTAGAGACGTCTGAAAGACGTCCTCTATAGGCCGGATGTTAAAAATCACGACGTCTTTAAGATATCTTTATAATGTCTCTTCTGAGTCTTATAAAGGCATAGAAAAGACATGAGAAAGACCTCATTTCTGAATGGATTTCAGGGTTCCCCTGGGGATTAATTAAAGTGGAATTTGAAGTATTTGGATTTTAAAAGTATTATTCAATAACTGTTTTCATTCCTATGTTTTTCAAGCAAACATACAACACAAAAAAATAGTTGATCTTTGTGACATTTATTTGAAAAGTACAACTACCAAGGAAAAGAAGTTGCTCGTCCACCCTGTTTGTGATAGGAAAATTGAGAATATTCATTATGTTTCATATAACTGGTCTCTTTTAATTCATTTTTTTTTCATAAAACAGGGCATCTCATCTACAGGAATGCTGATTGTATTAGTCCCTCTGTTGATTGCTTTTTGTGTCAACCAAGCATATTCATATCTCTGGAAGATCCCACATTCTTCCTGAAAACAATGATATAGAGTTGAGTTTCAGGAGTTTACCAATATCATTATTAGGGAGAGTTCTTCTTACCTGACACACACACAGTGGACTGTAAACATAATAAGGCATAATACTTATTATACTTCAATGCAATCATTTGCATCCATTTGACCAGCCAAAACCAGGTGACCCGCATTTATGAGCTCAGCTTCATTTTGGAGACACTGAATCACTGAAAAAGTGTAGACAGATTGAAATGCACAGGCTAAATTGCCAAATCATAAGAATTCTTGTTCAATAATGATAAAAACTTACAGCTTATCATTATGTTGGTATAGGTTTTAGGTTCAACATTCCAACTAGAGGTAGGTAGGTGTTCTATACTGTTAAACATCAGAGATATTATTGTCCTCTATCAAAACACAATGAACCACTGGAAAACACGGATTCAAAAAATACACAAATATCAAAGCTGAGATTGATTGAGAACTCAAAACGAAATTAACATAAACACACCTCTCAATAAACACCATCACCAAAACCAAACAATGTAAAATGTAAACAATCAAATAGTACTGGCATTCGCCGTTCTGGCTCTGGCGCAACGATCTCTCATTCGCTTGACATGGCGGTATTTTCAAATCATCCCACCCGATTTATTAAATAACTTACTCTGAACAATCTATAACCTCTATGTATTACGGTGAAGTTATAAAAATTATGAAATTGAAAATATTCTATTAGCCTGAATCAATATGATCATACCTATATTTTGTATTAAAAGTTCAACGCATATTATGAGAATAGAACCATAACTATATGAGTGTGGAATTCAGGAATTCTGAGAGTGGAGAACGTTCAGATATGACACACTGAAAGTCATTATGATTAATACTTATTATTGCTCATTTCTATTATTACGATGTCCTTAAGACGTATTCAGGACGTGAGAATCAGATATCTTTAAAACGTCTGAATGATGACATCTTGTAGACGTCTAATTCAGGGAGTAAGACGTACAGACTAAGATAGGATATAATTCAGACATCTTAAAGACGTCTTGTGCTATCTGGGGTGCCTGCAGACACCAACCAAAAATATTTTGTTCCAGATGTGGCCAGAGGGATGTTTTATCCCGTGATTGTGCATGTCTCCCTCCAGATAATTCCGAGAATCCAGTACATATCCAACATCTCTCCCCCTTTTTGAAGAGACATAATATTACAAATTATATATACCATACGAATGTTCATGAAGTCATCTCATTGACATTTTCCCAAAATCGGTTTATTTTGATCACATCAAGCAAGCATCAGTATCTATATCTCGTTTTTATTTTCAGTCTTTGGAGAGTGTTCTCCTGTCATTATTCTTGTGGTCAATTGATAGCTCTGTGTCAGTATTTATGATTTTCAATGGAACTGTTTGGTAAAGTGAGTGTTAAACGGTTTTTTTACGAGCGTGCGGAAAAGTAACTTTTCCGCATGATTTTTCTTTTCGAAAGTTGTACTTTTCTGTACAATTCCACTTTTCCGCATTATTTTTACTTTTCCGCACGATTTCGAAGGAAATACCAGGAGCATGGTGATAACTGTTGGCACCAGAACGTATCCATAGCAATGTTATTCGGAAATCTCTGCTATCATTCCTTCACTAGCAATACCAGTCAGACAAACTAGACGAGCCCAGTCATCACATCCTTTCGTTGTCAACCTCGAAAGATGTCGAACAGCACTTTATCAAAACTCCTCCATCCATAGAACGGCTAGGCTCTGGAATTCATTGCCTGGGAAAGTATTCCCAACAACATATAATCTCCAGAAGTTAAAAAAAAATTCCAATACCTACCTCCTATCCCTATCCTCCCTAGGAACGCACGATTATTATAGGGATTCCCTTTCGTGAGCTCCAAGCAATGAAAAAAAAAATTGCGTGTACGTGATTCCAATTGAAAATGAAAAACTCAGGATACTTTCAAGATCTCTTCCCGGAAATAATTGATTCAAACACTAGCCATTCAAACTCGAATAAGAAACGACGTTCTTCAGGATGTTGTGGCATCTGCTATATTTCAGCATGCAACACACACAAATTACTTTCAATTTCAATATTCACCATCGTTCATGTTTTAGTTATTGTAATTTGAATGTTTTTCAAATAAGTTTCTTATGATATCGATAAAAAAAAATCTATTTCATTATCCTTCAGGGCATGAAAATATCGTGCGGAAAAGTTACTTTACCGCACTAGTGCTGGAAAGTTACTCTTTCGCACGATTTTTGTATTGTTGAGAATAAGGATATTCAGGACTAAGTAAATGATCCATGTAACTATTTTGTCTTATGTGTCATTTTGTATTATCATTATAAAATATTGTTCATAGAAAATTTTTTTTTATGAATAATATGAACAAAAACACTCGTAGGAAAAACTTTGTACCTAACTCTTGCGGAAAACGTCTTGTCCGCCACTTGACGACGAAGTAGTACTTCACTTGTTAGGTAAATAACTATTCCTTGATTTATGCAAATGATGAACCTCAAATTTAGTTTCTTTAAACTAGTGGCATCTTCCGTTAGAAGCTACAATGATAAAATTTTCTATCTGAGTATTTGATGTGTGCCTCTAACGAATGACTAATTACCAGCTAGGTATATCAAAAGCATAAATATTGAATTTTGGCATTGGATAACGAACACCCTATATGAGGTATATAGCGTTCACATTTTGTGTAGGGATATCTCAGCTACTAAAAGGCTATAATCATATTTTTGGAAAAAACTTGTCTAATAGTAGATTTTACAATTTTTATTCCATTCATCAAACAGTCTTGAAAATTTTAATATTTCAGATTTCTCCACATTTTTGAAGCTAGTTGAAAATAAGTCAACGGATTCCAAATCAGGAGGATGTTGTGAGATAAAGTCGCACACACTCATACATATACAGTGTGACCAAAATGAGGTTGAACAGCACGGAGATCACGGAAACGGGAGGTGATACGAATCAGAAAAAAGTTGCGAATTCAAACCAATGGCCTTCGAAAACTTTGAAAATTGTTTCAAGTTTGTCAGTCATATAGAAAGAAGTCAATTTGATATTTTTTACGTTATTATTAGAGATACAGAGAGACTGAAAATACATCCTCATCAAAACTTTTGATGAGATTTGACGTGGTGATATCGTTTTCTCTACCAGACGTTTCGTATTCGTAGAACCATCAACTTTTTTGTCCAAATACGGTCCTGCCTATGTGTTCACAGATTCTGAAATATTATTCCCAGTCTGAATTCAACCCTGTATTATTCAAGGTCGTTTGAATGTGTTTTGCCATCATCGATGTTTTTTCGAAAGTTCGAAGAGGAAATACCATCATTTACCACCAATTACAACATTGAAAAATGCCTCATAATCTCAAAACAATTCTTAAGCTAGTCGCTTGGTAACAGCCCCCTTCGGCTTCGAGCTGTTACCAAGGAACAAACTTTCGATTGTCATAAAATTATCTCGTCTATTATCAATTTCCTAGGGATATTACTACTGAAAATACCTGTCGAGGATAGACGTTGGAATGGTCCTCTAAATACCCAACTATTTTTCTATTCATCCGAATTCGTATTTTCTACCATTTCCAGAATCCCCATGCTGTCCAACCTTATCTGGATCACAATGTTTCTGATGACACATAATCAAGTGCGATCCTCTCGTAGCCCTTGCCTTCTTGACAGTAGGAAAAAAACACAACCCCACTTGTTTTTTTATAATCAAAAAATAGGGAAACTTTATATATTTGTTACATACCTCGTATACGACTGAAAGAAATGTATATCTGATATTTCTATTCACGGTTGCAGGTCGTGCAGAACTTTTAGGAAGAATTACTATATTTTTTAAAATTGGTAATGAAAATGTTTTCTATCTGTTGACAACTTTTTCAGGCATACTCTATTTCCTTAATTAGTGAAAACGTATCCTTCGATTCAAGAAGTAGAATAGCCCTGCGAAGCTGTTTTTTATTTCATTCTCTACTATCAAATAAATATGAAAGAGTTATCGGGGTTTGTACTTAATACCGTTTCACCCGATACATACTTCGATTTTCCACAGCATCGACGACCAATCGGATGACACCGACCCGAACCTACGAGACGCCTCTGACGCCATAGCGTGCCGGATTTCCCCCCCATTATCCCACGTTGCCCCCCAGGCCTCCCACCTTGATCAAATGCTGCCTGAGTTCCCCATATCCAAGGACTTCGCTATTTCCAAGGACTATGCCATTCCCAAGGACGACCGTGGTGGAGCCACTGTCAACGTAGACAATCTCCAGGACTCTTGGAGTCTAGTGGGGCGGTACGACGTTGAAGAGGAATCGGGGACGCTAATTCCGTTCCAGAGCGAAGACAGTGACAGTCTGTTTCAAGGGCATTTTTGAACTATGAGATCGAACAATAAAATTTTTCTTAAACTGCAATGGATTTTGATTTACTGGCATCAGATTTCCGCCCAATAATTCATGATTCCATCATTCTGACAGAATGTCATCGGTGGGAGGACTACTCGTATCCATTTGATTTATGGTGTTTAGGCTAGAAGATAGAAAAAGAACATATCTGATATTATATGACATTACTTTTGACTCTGTTCAACATCGGTGGTTTGATTACAATGTATCTCAAATACTTCTCTATCCTGGGAATCCGATATATATATTATCATTCCAACAGAATACGATACTGACAAATTACTGAAATGGAGAAAATCGATTCTGTTGTATTTCTTATAAAATACGTCGTTGTTGTTGGGATAAGGTTTTGTCAGAATACGATTCCCTTGAAATACCATTCTGATGATATAAGTTACTTCATTTGACTACATGATGAATTACCTACATTATAATATTTTACATTCTGATCATAGATTAACGACTCCTTGGGGATAGCATTTTGATCGAATATATTGAGATACAACAAGGTTCTGATGGAATACGTTCTGATGAATTTTTGCAGCCAATTTTACTTTTAAAGAAAATCTGATGACATAATCATTTTACAACGAGTAAAAAACCTTACTCTTTCACCCTTCAACTTTACTTTAACTTCTCAATGCCCTGAGGCAGAACTGAGTATTTGAACTCAGCTTCAGAATTCAGAATTCGAATATTCAGTAATTTATATTGAATTGGCAATGGTAATAAAAAGTTCCATACCTGCCTGCACTTGACTTGGGAAAGCTGGGTTCTGGGCAATTTCCCAATGTGACTTTCGAAAATTTCCTGCGCCCATATGGTATAAAAATGTGACTATCGATGGAACTACACAACTATATAAGAAGGAATTTGGTGGTCTGATTTTGAACCTAGGCGAGATATACAAATGTTTTCGTAAACTACTATATGGCGGTAATTATTTTCAGCAAAAATGAAATGTCTCGAAAACTGTAATAGATATGAGTTCACATAAATTAGGTCGTCGATCTGAGCTCACATATAAAAGGCCAATCGAAGAGTGTGAAAAAAGTAGGTGAAAGTTCCTATTCTGAATTAGAAAGTTGGTGCCGATTTTTGACGCGCTCTGTGTAACCTGACAGCCTGGTGGCTGTTCTTTTTATGTTAATTTGGCTGTGATCGTCAATAAGTGACCAAGAATCGAATGATGTTATTTTGGTTAGAACCACATTCCTCATTGTTAAACACTTGTACCTATGAAGTCACATGAAATTGTGGAATGAAGTTTTTTTGACCAGCTTCATTACTAGGCTGGTTTTGATCAAAATCTAAGTACATGAGCCTGATTCTAGTTGAATTTCACCTGTCCGAAAGCTCGAAACCTGAAAACCTGAGAGAGCTGAGTAATGCATTGATTCCTGACTTCCCACAGCTTTTCCTGATAGTAAACTCTGATGAACATAATTACAACCCTAAAGACTTCGATATTTTTCAACCCTTTGCTTATCATATGAAATTTGATTGAATTACCTATCTGTTGAAATGCTCGATGTTTGACTGTTCATAACTTTGTTGTTATGGAATATCTTCCAGCCAAATTCATTCAGTAGCATAAGCAAAGGTAGTAGATCCTGTTCCTGTGCCCGTTTGGGCATTTATTTTTTCCGCGTTTTGTGTTGGAGGTGCACATATGCTTTTCAAGGACAGATTTAGTGGTCATCATGGTCATGAGCCATGACAAGTGGGAGTTTTGGCCAATGAGATTCCAGATTTACTTGTCCTTGTGTCAAGGCCAAAGTTGTGCATAAATACTGAAGACAGCCAAGGATTCTGGGCTCGCTCTCTACTCTTCTCCACAAGTCTGCACTACCTGCTCGACCTGCTCTTTAAGCTCCTGATTCTCTTGCTGATCTCTTAGTGCTCTCATAGTTCATTCAAAACCAGTGTAAAGTATTATTGTATAGTGATTTCGTGTTACACATGTAAGTAAGTATATTTTTCACCATATTGTTATTCATCCTGTTCATAGATTCATTTCATTCTTGTTGTTTTGCATACCGATACTCACCCGACCTGTGTAAAGAATCCAGAACTTGGTATTTGCGAATAAACGGATTTTGTGATTGCATATTTCATATTCCTTTCTCTGTTGTCATTGTTTTTAGTTCCAAATAGTTCAATAATTTATTTAGCAATTTTCAATATTTTCATTTGTCAAATTGCTGATTATTATTATTGACTGACGCCTGACGGCGACAGCTGACACTGACAAGCCAGTGGTCAATTCTTCTTCTTCTTATTTTCCTTGAGAAATCCAGTCGTGTGCACCGGTGTCTCTGTGTTTTGAGTCCCGTTAGGCAGTGTTCTGTGGTTCATGAAATTTTGACATGAATGGAAAAATTTAATTAACCCCACTAAAATTCCGATATTAGAAAATTTGAAAATCGAAGAAAAAGGAAAGATGAATAGAAATTGAATCTGTTTAATTCGTTTGGAACTGTGTTTCCGATTCTCCAGGTAGAAATGATGTAATAGTTTAAATAAATAATTTTCCCGACCTAACCTCAAAATACCAGAGAGTCCCGGAAGATATTTGTTTTGATTCCTGTAATTATACCGACTAAAAGTAGCAACCAGTATTCCAGGCTGAACCCAGGGTTTGTAATTGAAGCCTACACTCCCTTGGCTCCTTATTGATTCCAGGTCGATTCAATAACATTGACCCCTGGATTATACTGTGGGTACCGAGGTAGGTATACCTCCTGTACCTTTCTCCACTGTTGCTTCTTTGTGCCTCTGTACCAAACATATTTTGTGCAGAGCAGGTAGAGTAAACTACCTCAAAAACAATCTGGCGCTCGAGAATCCCCCCTGTCAAATACCAGAGTAGTCTCCTGTCCTGAACAGAGCGTCAAAGTAGGGGCCCTAGTATGAAGACCCTTACAAATGACGCCCTAGAGCAGGGACTTCTTGGTTATTGAATCAGAAAATAGTCCAGTCCTGTTCCACAGAAAAGTTGCTTCATACCAGTCTAGAACAGTTTTTTTTCCTGTACTAGTATTCAATTGTTTGGAATCAGAATCACAACATTTTTCCTGAAAGTACCTGTATAATTTGTGTCTTGAGAGTTGAATCTAGTTCCAGTTAAGTTGAGCTATAAATGGATTTAAAATCAAAGTCCAGAAATCCAGGAAATGTTTATTGAGTCCAGATTTTTTTGTTTTTCATTTTGTTATGAGAGTCACTGAATTTTGAGACAGCAAGAGAGCCAAATCCGTTAATTTCCGAATACATTTCATCCTGATAATCATCCTGATATTCCAGCTCATTTAACCAGTGAAATAAAATGTTAGGCCCTGATATAGTTGATGACAAATGTAAAGGCTGTGAGAACCTCCAAAAATCCAGGAATCCAGGTCCAGAAAGCTACCGAGAGCACATATCAGGTTTGAAACCAAGAGTGAGTTGGGTATATAACCTAAACAAATCCGAATTAATCAGAGAACTAAGAGTGTATGGTCTAAAAACCGGAGGTCCTGTGGAAAAGTTACAAAACCGATTGATTTGGTTCCTGAAGATGGAGGTACCTGAAATATTAGCCCTCAGTCCTGAGATTCTTGTGGGGAAACCGCCTCCAGATCTCTCCGATATTCCTGAACACCATGATCCTCCAGATAGTCCTGAAACAACTCCAGGTAGTCCAGAAGCACATCCAGATAGTCCTGCAACACCTCCTGATAGTCCTGAAACTCCTGTCCTGGGTTACCCATGTGGATGGGAACCCTACCACTGTAATGTGCAATTTGATGGGACGTCAGACCCTGTAGATTTCCTGGAAGACCTGGAAGAGCTTGGAAATGTGAAGAGAATAGAACCAGACCAGCTCCTGGAAATGTTGCCTGAGGTATTACAAGGAAGAGCTCTGTTATGGTATCGCTGTAATAAAGTCAACTGGAATTCCTGGCCAGCTTTCAAAGAGCGTTTCCAGGTAGCATACTTCCCATTTCGATATCACGAACAGCTCCAGATTGATATCATCCAGAGGAAACAGAAAGTTGAGGAACCAGCTAGAGATTATGTGATAGACATGCAGACACTAATCCGAAGACAAGGCACTCTCGATAAACCACAAGAATTGACTTGGCTATACCAGAATTTACTGCCAGACTACCGCCTGTACATCAGAAAGACTGATTTCCAGGATATATACCATCACTAATCACTAGAATTCTGGAATATGAAAGCCTGAGAAAAGAGATATACCAAACCTACCAGGGTTATCACTACCTGCCACCACTCTCACCTGTGTCTTCCTGTCCGGAACCGATTAGGTATAAAGAACCTAGTTCCAGGACATATACCCAGAAGAGAAAACAAAATATAGGACTTCAAAACAGTGAGACTGTTTGTTGGAGATGTGGACTGCAAGGTCACATGAGAAGTGCCTGCAGACACCAACCAAAAATATTTTGTTCCAGATGTGGCCAGAGGGATGTTTTATCCCGTGATTGTGCATGTCTCCCTCCAGATAATTCCGAGAATCCAGTACATATCCAACATCTCTCCCCCTTTTTGAAGAGACATAATATTACAAATTACAAATCTAATTTTACAACAGGTTTACCCAGACGGTACCTCATATTCCTGGAATATGCCTACTACATCCAATTTTCCAATAGATATCTCCAAAGAATATTCCCTGAATATGTTTATCGAATATCCATTAGATATGCTTTTCGAAAATTCCAGGAATATTTCAAAAGCAGATTGTCGGAATGTCGAGCTATGCCGAATGGACACGACACGAGTCTGTCGGTCATCGCCTTTTGTTCCACATTCCACAGCACCTAGTGAAGGACCTGATCGATTACTGTGAAGAGTGTTGACATCAATATTAAAAGTTTCAGACGTTTGAAGTTAGTTACAATTCAAAAATGGAACATTAACTTAGGATGCACTTCTCTTTTGGCCGCCATTGAACTGAAGAGGATCACAAGGAGACTCAATAGCACTCAAAACCAGTA